GTATTGGGGTTGATGCTGAACGTTCCGACTTCGTAAGTGAACTCGACGTCATCGTTAGAGAAGCCCAGCTGAGGGACGAACACTTGTACGGCAAACGCCCCAGTCTCCAGCGTGCCAGCTGTGCAAGTGATGGATGTGTCCGTGGCACCAGTCACTGCGCAGTCCACACCGCCAATCTGTCGACAGAATTTAAAAAAAAAAAAATTATTGTAGGTTCTTAACCTTCTAGTGCAAAGCAGTCCACCAAATCCCAATATTCTGTTACTGTCACTGTTTGATGTTGTTGTCGTTGTTGTTGTTGTCGTTGTTGCTGTTGTTGTTGTTGTTGTTGTTGTTGTTGTTGTTGTTGTTGTTTTGGTTGTTTTTGTTTTTTGGGAGGACGGTTGAGGAGAGGGTGTACTTGGGCTCAAATTGTTATCTTAATTGATAAATTAACCTCAGAAGTTTTCATTTGTATTGCCCTAATAACATTAGTATTTAGTATAAATGTTTTTGTCCCTACGACTTTTTGAGAAAATATAGTAGAACTAACACTAAAAAAACCCATATTAATATTTCGGGAACGACACAAATTCGCGGGGATTTCTTTAAAACTCTAGAAAATTGCAACTCCATGTAGCGTTCAGATCCCCCCCTTAAAAATAAAAAACAAAACAAAATAAAATTCAAACAAAACCTGCTGATATCAACTGAGTCCGTAACAACGACACAAAATTGACAGTGGCAACAACAATAACAATGGCAAGGATCGTGGTAATGGAGATAGCGCTAGCATTGTTAGTTAGTTTGTTTAGTAGAGGTTTTACGGCGCTCGCAGCTGCATAAGGTCAAATGAGCGCCAGCTAGCATTGTGAATAAAAATAGCAGTGACGAAAGGGGAAACTCAGTAAATGACAATTACTGTAAGAGTTGCATGATAACAGCGACATAGGATTATAGGAACAAGATGAAACGACGAGTTTACAAAACCACCAAATTCATGGAAGATAAAAAATGCCTTTAATGTTCCTTCTGCTGTTTCTTTTTATGTCATAAGATAAGATAAGATAAGATAAGATAAGATAAGATAAAATAAGATAAGATAAGATCAGATAAGATAAGATAAGATAAGATAAGATAAGATAAGATAAGATAAGATAAGATAAGATAAGTCTTCATTGTCTGGATGCCGGCACACTATAATATTACTTTGTCTTTGTGTCTTTCATGAAATACTATACGAGTATGTTATAAAGACTACAGGCACATTCTCAACAACAATGATGGAGCAATGAACACAAGGAGATCTATTCTGCCATCATTTAAAAAAGTCAGCACATTATAATGCATAAAAAATAATTATACAGAGGAACCAAAAAAACAAAAAACCCCAAAACAAAACAAAAAACAAAAACCAAAAGAAAAAATCGAATGTTGTTACCAAGAAAACAAACTTTTTGCGTACATCCCAAGTCGATATTCTTGAGAATATAATTTTGATAATAGCTTCCTATTATCTTTAAAGTAAATATTGTTTTCTTGGTAACGACATTACGTTTTTTTGGTTCACCTGTGTTAATTGTAAAAACTGCATAAAACACTGCACTTTTAAAAATGACGGCAACATTATCGAGTACATTTTTGTGCTTACTTTCCGTCTGAAGAATGCCACCCCCCCATCATCTCTCTCTCTCTCTCTCT